TAGCATGACGTTCTCGCCCGACACGCCGACGCGAGCCTCGAGATAGGTGAGTCCCAGCAACGTCAGGAACAAGCAGCCCAGGAAGAGAACATAGCTCCACATAGCCATGCAACATAGCAAAACTGTAGATGGATACGCCACCCGCTGGAGAACACCACTCGCCGCGGTCGTAATTGGCACCCCTCCCACCCCTGAGGACTTGGGTAGAGGGAGGACCCTGCTCGAGTCTTCTTCGGAGGCTGGGGCTGCGTCTTCGGGCCCCGAGCCTCCTTTGTTCTCTGCCTGGCCGTCTCGATCTCGGCCTGGTCCTTCGCGCGCTCAGCGATGCTATGTGCGCAGACAGCGAAGGGGCGATTCCCGGGGTACGCTGTTGCACGCCCATCCAAAACTCGACATCTTCAAACTTGGGGTCTCCTGGATCACGGGAATTGGCACCCAGAAGAAGCTGCCACCGTCTCGAGAGCGCCTCAAAACATGACAGCGACGGAAAGTTCAACTGATCGTACGACCCCGCGTGCCCGAAAGTCCTGCACATGACTTGCAACTCGCGCGCCGTGCGATCAGTAGGCGCGATCTTCAACTCGGCCAAGAAGCGATGGTACCATTGCATTGGGCTACCTCCTGCGCGCTCCACGTGCTTCAGCAGCCACTGCGTCATCCTGGGGCCCTCTATGGGCCAGTCCTCGTAGAAGTTCTCCGACGCTGACGCTGCAACGCGCCGCCAGGGCCTCCACATCTCGCCCTGCTCGTCGTAGAGCACCGCCGAGGCTCTGGCGTCATCCTCGTCCTCGGCCCCGTTCTTCGCCGCCTCGTCTCTAGCTCCCGGATCACCTCGCGGAGTGGCGGTTCCTCCGGCCCAATCCTGGATAACGCTAGGCCGTGACTCGGCGTGCACGCCGACCTCATCCTCGCAGATCTTATCCACGAACATCACCTCCTCGATGCCTCCAGAGGCCCGCAGGCGGTAGAGCCCTTTCAAGCCGACCACCGCCTCAAGCTTGCCGCCACTGACGCGCTGGCCCAAAGAGAAGCTAGGCGTCTCGGCCGCCACGACCCACGCGGCGTCTGGCTCCACGTCCAAGACAGCTCGCTCAGGTGCTCCTGGGACTGGGGCCGCACCCGCCCCCAGCAGGTCACCAAGAGGGAACTCATCACCGCCCCAGTCACACCAGCCACTGACATCGTCGGCCTTCACAGGATCGGGCACACCTTCGGCATGCAGACGCACGGTTTCAGCATGTTCGGCATGCAGACGCACGGCATGCAGACGCACGGATAGCCGGCCGCACCGCTTCCACCTCCAGGCCCGCGCGAAAACGATACGCGGGGTACGAGAGGTTGGCAGGCAGGCGCCCTCCACGACGCACAGAGTAGATATCTTCGATGTCATCCCCATCTAAGATATCGTCATAGATGTCATCCTCAGGAGTCAACACCGTCCAGTGCTTAACGGAGAGAAGCAAAAGTAGGACGCGCTCGTGCACTAGATTCTCGTCGTGCTTGAACAACAATCGAATCCCTGGCCGAAGGGTATTCCACCACGCCTCGCTTCCCACTCTCAGAGCTCGGGGCTGCAGCATGTCTCGAATTGCGGCCCGCGGCCAACTGTCCTAGCAAGGTCAAGAAAGAACCGAACGCAACGCCACCCAGCACCTCGTACGTATGTTTCTTCGGTGCCTCCACGATATCGCACGGCACAGGCGCAGGGCAAGGGGGCACCTCCACCACGGGGCACCTCCACCACGTCAAAGTCGGGCAATTCACCTCGGGGCACTTGAAGTCGCAGGTCGCCCCTTCTCCGCAGCGCAGCTCGCAAGCAGGACACGGAGGGGGCTGTGGACACGCAGCCTGTTCCGCGATGGCAGCCAGCGAACTGTAACCGAGAGCCCGAACGAAATCTTGGAGCCCTGCGTTCCCTAGCAGGGCAGGAAACATGCAGGACCTCCGAAATGCTCGAGAAGAGGAGCGGCTATAGAAAGATATATCGCCGAACCGTTCACAAGTCATTGAAGTGCCCGCACAGCCAAGCACCTTTCCACAGCGGCAGACGCCCCCAGGAAGCCCAAAGAGACCCCCAAGAGGCGCCCCAAGGGGCCCCCCAGAAGTCCCAGGAGGCCTCCAAGCAGCCCCCAAGTGGCCCCCAAGAGGCTTCCCAGAGGCCTCAGACTGCCACCCATGGGCCCCCGAGAGCCCTCCGAAGAGCCCTGAGGAGCATCCCTGAGGACTCTGACCCACATCCAGGCACGGTGGCGAGACGGGCCGCCACTCTGACCCACTACCCAGGCACGGTAACGTTCTCGTCTTTTTCGACTCTCAGAGGCCCATGACGGCCCAAGCAGCTTCCAAAATGGCCCCAAGACGGCCCAAGAAGCCCTCGAAAGGCCTCCATGACGGCCCAAGCGGGCCCTAAGACGGCCCAGCTCAAGAGGACCCCAAGAAAGCCCCAAAACGGCCGCAAGAGGCCCCCAGACCGGCTTCCGAATGGGCCACACGCCGCAAGAACGCCCTAAGCGGCCCAAGACGCCCGCAAGAGGCCCCAAAGAAGCCGGCCCCAAGAAGCCCCCAAGACACCTCCAAGAGGCCACGAAAAAGCTCTCAAGAGGCCCCGCAACGACTGGACTGCACGTGATCCGGACGTGCACCCCGCGGAGCGAGAGGAATCCACGTCCAGAAGTGACGTGTTGCCCGATGCAGGTCGCGCAGCGGAGCGGGAGCCCTGATGCAACGTATCCAATGTATCCAATGATTGCATCATTCGTACATATTGCACTCTGTGGGCTAAAAACATACAACAAAGCGATGGAATATATATATATATATATATATATGATTTGGGCCCCTGGGGCTTCTTGGGGGTCCAAGGGTGCGTCAAGACGGCTCAAGATGGCCTCAAGACGGGCCAAGACGATCCCAAGACGGTCCAAGATGGCCCCAAGGAGGCCCAAATAGCCCCCGAGAAAGCCCCATGAGGACCCCCAAGAGCGCATCCAGAAGCCAAATTCATTGGTTTGCCCTACGTGTTAGAAGGATTTTAGCGTTCCCGTCTTTTTCTATCCTTAGAGGTCCATGACGGCCCAAGCAGACTCCAAAAATGGTCCCAGGACAGCCCCAGAGGCCCCCAAGAGGACCCCAAGACGGCCCAAGAGGACCCCAAGACGGCCCAAGAGGATCCCAAGAGATCTGTAAGGCGGCCGCGAGAGGCCCAAAGGATGGTTTCCAAGGGGGCCAAACGGCGCAAGAGCGCCCCAAAACGGCCCAAGACGCCCCCAAAAGGCCCCAAGAGGCCCTAAAGAAGCCCCCAAGAGGCCCCAAGAAGCCCACAAGAGGCCTCCAAGAGACTTCCACCGGGCCCCACAACTTCCGGGCTGCACGTGCTCCGGACGTGCACCCCGCGAAGCGAGAGGAATCTTCGAACCATCCTCCACGATGCGCGTAACTGCCCGCACGAAGGATCCATTTTGACCATCGGACCCCTGCTCCGCGCGCGTTCGACGGAATCTGACGGAAATCAAACTGGCCCAATCTGCTGGGACATCGCTGCGATTTTGCATGTCGTCAAAATTGTGTTTGTTTCTTCCATGTCGTCCAGCGCCCCCCTCTGAACGCAAAAAGCCGGTTTCGGCTGAGACATTCTCACGACTCGCTCTTGCACGGGCATCGGCGCGCAGGTGACGCCAGCGGTGTGCTGCCCGCGCCGAGGCGAGAGCGCCGCCTGGGCGGACCTGCGGCCATCGCGCGGAAACTCGGCGGGAAAAGTCCAACCTGCCGGCAGGATGCCCGACATCCCCAGGGGCGGCCGTCCTGGCGGCACTGCGAGGTGCGCCGAGGCCCGCCGCTGGCGGGGAGGCGGAGACTCGCCCGAGTGCAGAACGACTGGCATGACGCCACTTCAGGCTTGGCCCGACTGAAGGAAGCGGTCTTCCAGAGAGATTTCTCAGAAGCCTCTGGACCCTTTCCGAGCAGGCCCCCCCCATCCTCCTGGGCTCGCCGTCGGGTCATCGGGCGACTGGCTCAAGATACTTCCCAAGGGTTCCTGAGCATCCCGCGGCCCTCGATGCTGGAACCCGAGCGGAACATCAGGACCCAATCGGTGGAGCCGCGCCGCACGGCACACCTCGAAAATCGTGGAAATGGATTGCGAACCCGCCGCAGAGCGTACACGTGCGGCAGGCTCGTGTCGCACCGGCGTCGGCATTGGTCTGCTTCTGTCACCGCGTGGATCGCTCGACCTCGGAGGACCGTGGCTTTCCGATTGAGCCGATCTGGGGGGCAACGACAGGGGGGAACTGGCATAAGGGGGGGATGCATCGACCTGGGATCGGCGATACGTCGCCGACAGATCGGCGATGGGCCCCCGGTCGTGAATCCGCACCTTCCTGGGCAGGTTGGGGCCATCGGGCCCCCATCGGCGATCAATGGGCGATTGGGGGTCGATGAATCCCCCCCCTATGCCTATCCCACCCCAATCGTTGCCCCTGAAGATCGCTCGATGTCGCGGCCACTTGAGGGCCGCCGCCGTCGTTCCTTCTCGAACGCCCGCGCAGGGGTCGCGACCGCGAGCACCTGCCGCACCGCACGCCGACGAGAAGGGAGGAGCTTTGGCCGCTGCGCCACCGAGCGCGGCGCGGCCATCGCCAGGACCCCGCTTCAGCAGGAATAGAAGAAGACAACAACACATAAACATAAACTTTTGGCGCTCCGCGCGGATTTCTTGGATCCGCGCTGGACCCCCCTCTCTGGCGCGCGGAACGCGCAAGGGGCGGCGCCAGAGGCGCCGCCGGGGGGCCCAGGCGCGGATCCAAGAAATCCGCGCGGAGCGTAAAAAGTTTATGTTTATGTAGTTGATTATTCTTCGAAAGATCGCCATGCTGTCCTGCAGAGCCAGGGTTCAAACTCCCAAAAGAAGGTAGAGGCTCTCGGCACAGACTCGGTACAAGTGTTCAAAAGCTGCTCCACAGAATGTACGCTGCCAAGGCTCCCCTACAACCTTCCACTGCCCATCACAGGTCGAACTTCTCTCGCAAGATCCTCATTATAGAATCCAAATGCTTGTCATGCTGTGCATGATTTGATTTCAACTCCGCGTGCAATTTTTGAAGGTCAAAATTAGTGGCAACTCCTCTGAGCACCATACAGCCGTTGACAAACGTGTGAATGTCAACCTGCCCATCGCCACTGCTGTCTTCGGCCATGAACTTGAAGAATTCAACGAGGTGGTGCCTTTGGAGCCCCAAGCTCTTGAGCAGCAGCGGTATGTGGTTCTTCTGCAGGCCGTTCTCGAACTGCTCTCGTGTCAATTTTCCGGACTCGTCTGTGTCGACGGCGCGGCAGAGGCGGTCGAGCTTCTGGGCATCCACCCACTCCTGTTGCGAGAGCTCTCGGGCGAACACCTCCGGGTCTGGCTTGAGAACCGCCATTGCCGACTCCACGAAAATGCCCGTGATCCGCCACGGCGCCTATACATATATATATATATATATATATACATATACATATATATATACATATATATACATATACAAGATTTTAAGGCTCGCTGCGCTTCGCCTTCTAATATTGATCCTTGCACCTACGATGTTTCTGGGCGCGGGCGAGAACACAATTGTTCAATGAGGTGTGTGGGAATTGTGCGAGCGGAGGCGAGGCGAGGCGAGTGCGCGGTAGCGCCCGGGGCGGGGCTCAGGGCGCAGCGTTGGTGGACGCTTGAGTGGAGGTGAAGGTGGAAAGTCGGATGCCGGACGCTAGAGGTCGAGTGCTGAGCTGATGGAGGCTGGAAGTCTATAGGTGGAAGTTCCACCAGCCCTTTAGGGCTACGGTGGTATAGCGAGTTTGGTCTTCTCTCTTCCCCTTCCTTCCCCTGCTCGGGGGAGGGGTAACCTTCCCCTGGGCCTGGAGGGGGGGGGATGGAGGCGTTAGAGCGTCCAAGACGGCTCAAGATGGCTCCAAGAGGCGCTCCAAGTCGCAAGATGGCCTCCAAGATGGCCCAAGATACCTCAAGATGGGTCAATATAGCCTCCGACACACCTCCAAGAGTCCTCAAAACGGATCCAAGTGCCCTTCGAGCCCTCCACGGCGCCCTCCAAGAAGCCAGAACCCTTCAAAAGCTTAAGGAAAGTCCATGTGTTTGGCATTCTCGTCTTTTCGCTTCCGATGGGCCCCTGAGGCATCAAGATGGCCCCAATATGGCCCAAAAGAGCCCCAAGAGGGGCCCAAAAAGGCCCAAGACGGCCCCAAGATCGCCCAAGAGGCTTCCAAAGAGCGCTCCAACACGTCCCCAAGACGCCGTTTGAGAGCCTCCGAGGGGGGGACCTGAATTGAGGACCCCCGCTCTTTTTGAACAATGGGGCCCAAGACGGCCCCGAGAGGCCTCCCAGCC